AACCAGTATTAAATGAAATGCTGAAAGGTATCCTTTAAGAAGAGGAAGAAGAAGAAAAAGGTAAAAGATACAAATTATGAACAACAAATACACATCTATCAACAAGTGAATCTAAAAATCAAGTGAATAAATAATCTGATGAACAGAATAAACTGGTGAGTATAATAGAATCAGGGGCATAGAAAGGGAGTGGACTGACTATTCTCTGGGGGTGGGGAAGGGGTGTGGGGGATGCGGGAAGAGACTGGACAAAAATCGTACACGTATGGATGAGGACAGTGGGGGGGGTGGGGGGAAGGAAAGGGCAGAGGGTAGGGTGGGAACCGGGTGGAGGGGAGCTATTGGGGGGAAAAAGAGGAACAACTGTAACAATCTGAACAATAAAGATTTAGTTAAAAAATAAATAAATAGCCGAAACCGGTTTGGCTCAGTGGATAGAGCATCGGCCTGCGGACTGAAGGGTCCCAGGTTTGATTCTGGTCAAGGGCATGTACCTGGGTTGCGGGCACATCCCCAGTGGGGGATGTGCGGGGGGCAGCTCATCGATGTTTCTGACTCTCTATCTCTCTCCCTTCCTCTCTGTAAAAAATCAATAAAACATATTAAATAAATAAATAAATAAATAAATAAATATATAAATAAATAAAATAAAAAATAAAGATGGGGACAAGTCCCACTTTGGGGAAGCCCAATTATTTGTGGTGAGGCTGAACACATGACAGAGATTGCAGGAAAGTCCCAGCAGCTGCCAAGAATTCTTGGGGACTCTTCCTGCTCTCCCTCTCAGGACTTCAGCCGCCAGAAACCCTTAGCTAGTGAGATTTCTGTCTGTGTGTCTGTAATGTAATGTTGGCTTTCTATCTTTTAGGGACTTTAGTTTGCTCTTCCCTGATGTATGAATATAGGAAAGTAAGCTATACTGGCTGGGTTGGGCAACAAGATTAATGTTTCCATGATAATGGGCAATTCTTGAATGAGAATGGACCACATCCCAAGGATGACTCCCAGGTCCCGAGGGCATGGGACTCCCAGTCAGGTTATAATGTCCTTTCTTTGAACAGAAAGGGCAAGCATGGTTAACAGAATAATTGATATTTCCCATAACTATAACTAGTCCCCAATGTTCTGTTTTTCCCCACAACACTGGGAGGAACAGATCTGTAGAAGTACCCTCTAGCAGTGAAGTGGGGGCATTCCTGTTCTTATAGAGAAAAATAAAATACTACTTTCACATTGAGTTGTCCCTCTTACAAAATTAGTCAAGAAAAATGCTTTAGGTAATAATTGGCTTTAAAATCTCAAAGTTGTTAAGACATAATAAATAGATGTAACTAAAATGAAGAATTTATGATAAAACTTCAGTAATAATTATAAATATGTTAATAATACTAGTAAAAGTCCAGTCATTCAAGAGGAGATTGACTATACTCTCTGTTGAAGAAAGGGAACAGTCGTCCTTCTCCCTGTAAAAGTAAAGAAACCTAAAAGAGAACAAGGGCAGACGGAGAAATGAGATCCTTGTCCTGCCTTCCTCTCTCTATGTGACCAGGGGACAATCTGAGGGAACAGCCAAGATGGCGATTTACAATCCCAGCCACCCCTCAGGAGGAGGGCTGTCCTGATAAGGCCCTGCCCCTGAGGCCTCTACGCCGCCGGAAACCAGCACTTTCTAGGTTGCAAAAGGAGTTGGAGCAATATAAAAAAAAAAAAAAAGTTAAAACCTCTGCTGGAAGACAGGTGACTTAGCTGCCAGCTAGACCCATTTTTGGGCCCATAAGTGTATACACAGACCTGAGTTAAGCGCAATACTATTCTCAGGAATACTATTCTCAGGAAAAGAAGGGGGAATGATTTTAAGGTCAGCTATGGCTATCTGGGAAAGAGAGCACCTGGCTAGCCCTGGTGTGCTTCCAGCAGATGTAAAATTTCCAAGCTCAGGAGCCCCAGTGGGACCTTAACAACAAGGCCCATAGAGGACACATGAGAGATCTCTCAGGGAACCAATAATTAAAGGGATTAGGGTAGCAGTTCCCTGGTCTCAGAACCTAAATAAAACCTTCAATATTCAGCAAGGCAAAGAAGAAGGACCTTCTGAATTTTACCAAGACTAAAAGATCAAATGAGGAAGTACTCTGGGCCAGACCCTGAGGACTTGTTGGGCCAAGAAATATTAAAAATTATATTTTGGCCCTGACCGTTTTGGCTTAGTGGATAGAGCATCAGCCTGCGGACTCAAGGGTCCCAGGTTCGATTTCGGTCAGGGGCATGTACCTTGGTTTTGGGCACATACCCAGTAGGGAGTGTGCAGGAGGCAGCTGATCAATGTTTCTCTCTCATTGATGTTTCTAACTCTCTATCCCTCTCCCTTCCTCTCTGTAAAAAATAAATAAAATATCTTTAAAAAATTATATTTTGTCACCAATAGTTGTCCTGACATCTCAAGAAAACTACAAAGTTAGAGAACAGGAAGAATAGAAGTGCAGAAGAACTCTTAAAAAAAGACTCACAAGGTCTATGTACATAAGATAAGAAAGGCAGAAACAGAAAGCTAACATAATATTCACAACTGTAGAACAAGTGGCCCAGGGAAGGGCTGGCCCGGAGGGCCAGGAACAGAAGCCACAATAGTATCACCCAAACCTTAGCTTGTTATCTCTAAGGAAAAATATTGCAGTTTTGAATTCAAGCAGCTAGAGGTCTGGGGACTGACTGTGGGGCCAGCTCCCTTCTCCCCCAGCCCTTTCCTCCAGCCTCATAGGCCTATACATAATTTTCCAAAGTCTTTGATAACTTAAAGGCTTTGGAGCATTCCTGGGTTAAGTAACAAACATCTAAATATTTTGAAATAACAGGATACTGAAACATTAATTAATTTAAGTTAGCCTCTTAGGGAAAATATAGGGGATAGATTTGAATCTATTAATGAATAAGTCTTGTATTTTATTTGAAATATCTCTTAAAATGTGAATGTATTGCTAATGTGAGGAATATTAATTACTTACATGCCACCTAAAAATTAAGGTTTCTAAGGGCTTAAAAATTCAAAAATTATGAAAAGAAGTTATGGTTTTGGTATCATAGAGAAAGCATGAGGCGTGAAAATGCACTTTGAAGGAGAAAGGAAATGGTTTCTAAAGCTGGTTATTTCTGAAAGTTGTAAGATTTCTAAAGAAAGATTTATTAAAGTTATAAAATGTTTGTAAAAAAAATTGAAAAGAAGTTGAATAAATGACACAGGCCAATAAGCCAGAATAAATAGAATAGGGAAATTGAAATAAATAGCAATTTGGAGCCATCTAGTAAATCCTATCTTCCCTAAACCAAGGACACTTAAGAGTAAATGATTTGCATTTTGCCTCCCTAAACAGAGAGTAAATAGCTTATATCAATGTACTCAGGGAGACTGATAACAGAAATTCAATTACAGTGGGGCCTTGACTTACGAGGGACTTACTAGGGACCAAATTTCTTAAGATACTGGGTATCTCTTCTACTTTAATCTCTCTCAGGTTAGAAGGCCTCCTGACCCAAAGCCCTCTTGATTTTCTAGTTCATTGCCATTGACCAGAAGACTATGTTTGTTTTAATCAAGATTTGGAAGGGAAGCAAGTTGGAACCCTCTTGGGAAAGACCCTACGTGTCTTGCTTACCACAGAGACTGCTTTTGGGACTGCAGAGTGAGGTTGGACCCATCACACACGGGTTAAGGGCGGACACACCTCAACTTGAACAGCCATACCAGGACATATCCCCTTGAAATTTATGCTAAAAACTGTGAGCTGTCTTAATAACCATCATGTACTGAGTTCTATTTGCTTTAGGGATCTGGCAAATTGCAGGGGCTTACAATGTGGGCTGGAGAAATGTGTACAATGTGGATCATGCATACACATTTAAGTTATTGATTATAGATAACTTAAATGATTTGTTATCATTTCAGCCTTTAGGCCAAAAGGTTGGCTAGGACTAGATTTAGGAATAGATGTCACAGGACAAGATCCCCTAGGCTACTGCCACCACCATGCAAATAGAAGTAGGATATAAGGGAACAAATGCCTGGGTGGAAGGATTAAATATTCTGTACAGGCCCTAAATAAAAGTGACTGTTACGCTTGTGCGGCAGGAAGGCTAGAGGCCCAAGTGGTCCCATTTCCATTCGGATGGACCTCAGACTGTAATGGGATGGAATATGTGTTTGCCTTGTACCAGGAGGAAACTGCCTGGGGAAACGCTTCCTGTAAGACTCTTCCCTGTTGTTCTCATTCAACAGAGGTAAAGAGCAAGGTCCACCACCCCTCCCCCCCAAACAATCCGGCCCCGTCCTGCGACATAAACTATACCTCCTGCCTCTCAAGGGGGGAAACAGTGCTCAGAGTTTATGAGAAATTTATCCAGATGCGTAAATGGCCAAATATTCTTAGAAGCCAATCATGCTGCACTGTCGATACCCCGTGCTGATGCCTGGTGCTGTTATGGGGGACCCCGACTTGTGGCCTTGCTCAGCAAATGGAGTGGAACTTGCGCTCTGATGTAATTGGCTATCCCTTGCACTTTGGCATATCGTAAACCTTTTTCAATGGACAAACTAGGAAGAGGAGAGAGAGCCCAGGGGGCTCCATTGATCCCCATATGTACAAAAATCTCATGGGGTTCCAGGAGGAGTGCCAAAGGAGTTTAAAGCTAGAAATCATATTGCCGCTGGATTTGAATCTGTCCCATTCTGGTGGCCCACTGTAAACAAGTTTGTGGTTGGAGTAATTATATTTACTACTAGAGGCCCCGTGCACGAATTCGCATTCCCTCATCAGCTCCTTTTGATCCAAACAGTATGTGGGGCAACATCCAACCCTTCCCCAGCTTCCTGAAAACCCTCAGTGGGGTGGGCAACCCCCCTGCCGCCCGCTTTCCACCTCCTTCCTTCTCTGCTCAGGCCCCTCCCCTCTTCTCCAGCCCTACAACTTCCGTTTGTCCGGTCGCCTGGGAAACCGCTTACTTCCGGTCGCGCAGCTGTGGGCGAGATGGCTGAGGAGAGACAGCCCACGGTGAGCACAGATTCTGTTTTGTGTCCGGGCCGCCAGGCGGGACTGGATGGGGCCGGGCCTGCGGGACCCGCGGAGCCCAGCGGCGAGGCAGGCCGTCAGGCGGCCTTGGTTTTTCGCAGCTGCCCCTGGACGAGGGCGGAGGCGGGCGAGCTCGCGGAGGGCGGCAGGCAGGGGCCAGCTCCCGGGAAGTGGTTTGCCGGGCGCAGGGCTGAATTCTTTGCAGCATTTAGCCTATGGCTCCTCTTGGGGTCACCTGAACGGAAAAGGGGGGTTTTCATTAAAAAAATGGCTCTTTCCTCGCCCCATTTCTTGCGTCTCATTGGGTTTGGAAAGGCACTAACCATCACTTGTGCAGAGGCAGGCAGCTCCTTTTAATCCCCCGGATTAGGAATTGAATGTGACAAAGCCTGGAAGCATCACTGCCTTCTGCCGATGGGGCGGGGCCATGTTTTCTCTGCTGTGATTAAATTTAGGATAGGACTCTAGTCTAGGGATTAAACTCCACAGAATTGCCATTACGAAGTAGCCAGGTGGATTCGGGGTGACCCAGTAGTAATTTTTGAGGCGTGTATTCATAATTGAATGTAGTTACAAGTGTGAAACTTTGTTTTCCTTATTTTAGTATTGGGTTTCAGAGCTTGTTTTGAGCATTTGTTAGAATGACTTTAGTTATTCACTCGGAGTTTATTGATTGCCCTTTGAAAAACACCCCGGAAAACAAAGACAAATGTTGACTGTTACAGAGCAAGGCCAATATTATTATCTGTTAGAGGGGTCGCTTGTTTTCTATTCTTTTTATATTAGCAGAGAAACTAAATTATTTTAGTGTAATCAGAAAACTGAGTACCAGAGCAGGAGGCCCTATGCAAAGATTTCTGTAAACTACGAATTAAAAAAAAAAAGCATAATTAGTGTTACTAGGTTTTCGATATTGGAAACATACCAAAGAAAATACTTCACCTACATAATCTTAAATGTAAAGTATCATGTAAGATATCCTTACTACAAATATTCTTTTTTTAAAAATATATATTTTATTGATTTTTTACAGAGAGGAAGGGAGAGGGATAGAGAGTTAGAAACATGGATGAGAGAGAAACATCGATCAGCTGCCTCCTGCACACTCCCCACTGGGAATGTGCCCGCAACCAAGGTACATGCCCCTGACCGGAATCGAACCCGGGACCCTTGAGTCCACAGGCCGATGCTCTATGCACTAGCCAAACCAGCCAGGGCCAAATATTCTTTAGTGTTTATAGTAGGTATAGATAGATAGGTGTTCACAGGTAGTCTGTGAACTTGATTTCTGTGAAGGCAGAATAAACCTGTGATTTTGAGTCTCTAATAGTGTTTTAAAGGGAATGGCTTTTAAATATATATATATTGATTTCAGAGAGGGAGAGAGAGTTAGAAACATTAATGATGAGAGAGACATATTGATCGGCTGCCTCCTGCATGCCTCAAACTGGGGATCGAGCCTGCAACCCAGGCATATGCCCTGACAATGACCTCCTGGTTCATAGGTGAATGCTCAACCATTGAGCCAAACTGGCTGGGCAGGGAATGGCTTTTTTTTTTTTTAAATATATTTTTATGATTTTTTACAGAGAGGAAGGGAGAGGGATAGAGAGTTAGAAACATCGATCAGCTGCCTCCTGCACACTCCCTACTGGGGATGTGCGCACAACCAAGGTACATGCCCTTGACCGAAATCGAACCTGGGATCCTTCAGTCCGCAGGCTGACGCTCTATCCACTGAGCCAAACCGGTTAGGGCAGTGGTCGGCAAACTCATTAGTCAACAGAGTCAAATATCAACAGTACAACGATTGAAATTTCTTTTGAGAGCTAAATTTTTTAAACTTAAACTATATAGGTAGGTACATTGTTATTAACTTAATTAGTGTACTCCTAAGCTGGCCTTTGCTAAAAACGTCCTCAATCTGATTGAGGTACGTTCGCTGTGGTCGACCCCTTCCAACTCTCCCATCCGCACTCGTCTTGTATACTTGTTTCGTCTATCTCCTTTCCGAAAACCTACTTCTGCGCATGGGCCACGAAGTTTCAATCGCACTGTACGTGCACGCCCACACGTGGTATTTTGTGGAAGAGCCACACTCAAGGGGCCAAAGAGCCCCATGTGGCTCGCGAGCCACGGTTTGCCGACCACTGGGTTAGGGCAAGGCTTTTTTGTTTTGATATGACTTTAGCACTTGAACCTGAAATTTAATTATTTTCATTATTGTCAAATTTATTGCTAGCAGTGTTATACTTATAGTAGCTATGTTTTCAAGTTACCACTGCATGGAAATTTGAGTTTCTTCCTTTTTGGAAATGATCTGGCATCTTGTAATAAAATGACATGATAATCTTACTCCTAGACCTGTATCCTATCAAAATAGAAGCAAAAGCATATAGTACAAGTGTGTTTATTGCAGTACTATTTACAGTTGCAAAAGCTGGAAACAGTGAATGTCCATTGGTGAGGTAATGGATGACTTTTGATATTTCCATATGTAAGAAGAATATACAGCCATTAAAAAGAATGTTAGAACTATATATGTTGACTTGGGGGGATTTTCATGGTATATATTTAAGTAAGAGCTAGATGTGAAGTGAGGTATATTGTGTGATCTTAATTTCGTGACACAAAGAAAAAAATAGATCTGTGGATATGTGTGTATATATATATATATGGCGAAGACAAAGACTTAAAACTCATAGAGAGAACGTTTGAACAAATGTATAAGTAAAAGTCTATGATGAAGGCCTTGAGGCCAGAGATATCCCAGCAAAATGGAGTGAAACTAGCCCAATGTGGGGCACACAGGAATTCTGATTTGCTACCCAAGTTATTTATTTATTATTATTATTTTAAATATATTTTGTTGATTTCAGAGAGGAAGGGGGAGAGAGGGAGAGAGATAGAAACATGAATGATGAGAGAATCATCGATCGGCTTCGTCCTGCACACCCCACAATGGGGATCAAGCTTGCAACCCGGGCATGTGCCCTTGACTGGAATTGAACCTGGGACCCTTCAGTCTGCAGGCCGACGCTCTATTCACTGAGCCAAACCAGCTAGGGCTACCCAAGTTATTTAGATTAATAGTTCCTTACGGAGGAAAAATAGGGACTGATATTTATATTTTATTTAAGAATAAAATGGTTTAGAGATCTTTTTAAAAATACTGAGCAAATAGCTCTGGTTTCTATGATTTATGCTTATAACATTTTTTGTAATTCCCATTTTTTTTCAAATATATTTTTATTGACTTCAAAGAGGAAGTAGGGGAGAGAGAGAGAGAGAGAGAGAGAGAGAGAGAGAGAGAGAGAGAGAAACATCAATAATGAGAGAGAATCATTGATTGGCTGCCTCCTGCACCCCCCACACCGCGGTCAAGCCCACAACCTAGCCATGTGCCCTGATGGGAATCAGACTGTGACCTTCTGGTTCATAGATCAATGCTCAACCACTGAGCAACACTGGCCGGGCTAATTCCCATTATTTAATGTCTTCATATAAACAACTTTCTTCCAGTAAAGTTTAAACCTTTCAGAACATAAAACAAAATACTACTGCACTAGTTGACTTGGTTCAGATAGAGTACCTACCACATATCAAGCATTACATAAATATTTGTTAGCTGCACAAATGATCACAGAACTACATAAAAATGAAGAAGGAACAAAAAAAAAATTTATTCTTCATACATCCCAGCTATAAATGAAATCAGGTGGGTTAATAGAATTCTTTCCATCTCAGAATGTTTGGGGAAGTCTTTTGAGAGAAACATAAAAATATACATAATTTATTTTAATTCTATTTCGTGTACGAAGTAGGGTTGCTGACTTATGAAGATGCTTTTTGAACCTTTAAGAATCCTTACTTGGCCCTAGCCGACTTGGCTCAGTGGATAGAGCGTCAGCCTGCAGACTAAAGGGTCCCAGGTTCGATTCCGGCCAAGGGCACGTGCCTGGGTTTTGGGCTCGATCCCTGGTGTGGGGTGTGCAGGAGGCAGCCAATCAATGATTCTCTCTCATCATTGATGTTTCTGTCTCTCCCTATTCCTTCCTCTCTGAAATCAATAAAAAATATACTAAAACAACAACAAAAAACAATGGAGGTGTTGGTTTTTTTTTTTTTTTTAGCACTGTAAAACCAGCTTTGTTGAGGAATAAGTATATATACCATAAAATTTACCCATTTTAAATATATAGTTTGATTAATTTTAGTAACTTTATATAGTTTGCCAACCATCACAGCTTATGTCCATCACTCCAAACAATTCCCTTGTGTCCATTTGCAGCCAATCCCTACTTATAATCTGTGGAGAGCAGCTACAGTGTTTGGACAGGTTCAAGCCTCATACTAATGAGAGGGCACAGTCCTCTCGTGGCAAAGCCATGTGCAAGTCCTAGCTTGGAGGGCAAAGCCCTCCCAGCACAATGATAGCCAAAGGCTATAGTTGTAAGCTTGACCTTATAGTCCGAACCTGTGGTCCCACGTGGCTAAGTGATATAGGTTGCAGGAGGTGCAGCAAGTAAACAAAGCTTGATCAGGTGCATGTAATTAAGTAGATTCGAAACCCACGAGAACATTGTAAACATCTTGACCACGCCCTTAATTTGCCTCCTGGAATCTGGCTATAAAATAAAAACTCAGCTTGCAGGCTATGGCGCTGTCTCTCCATCAGAGAAGCAGCGTCCCACCTAGCCCCAGCTTTATTTTCTTGTCTGTCTTCTCCATCCTTTACCGCCCCCTCTCAGGTTCACCCATAGCTGTGCCGGTGTGGCACAGTAATCGAAATGCACTGTTGACCTGCTTTCTGTCTCCATAGTTTTGCCATTTCTAGCAATTTCATATAATGGAATCATACAATATGTAGTCATATGTGTCTTTATTTATTATCTTAAAATATATTTTTATTTAACTCATGGTTATTTTTATTTTAATTTATATTTCCCTAATGGATAATGATATTTGTTAGCGTCACCGAA